TGAATACGTACTACTGAAATTTCGAAACAGCTGAAACATTGCCAAGTGCTCCTCAAAAGAATCGTTTTTTTTGAGATGTTGGTGACCCTTTCTAAGGATGAAGCAGACATTAGGACCGCCAGCAGGCTGACAAACTGTATGCCTCGGCGAAAGCAGCTGGAAATCTTGTTAAATGCAGCAGTTAGGAGAATCATGCTGTTAGTTAAATGTTCCCGACTCAGCCAAAAACCAGTCAGTTTCAAAAAGAGATATGCCGATATCATTAATTTCGAACTTTTTTGAAGCCGCTATCGCTGCCAACAGCAACGACGAAATATCGCTGATCCTTGGTTCTGAAAGCCTGGCAAGGCAGTATGCTTTCTCGCTGCACTGCCTCACTGCAGTCGAGCACTCCAGCATTCAAATAATTGCTCGCCACATTCAACAGTGCTGCCATCTAAATTATCGTTGTATCAGGAATCTCAGACTGGAAAGATTTCTAAAACTGTAGAAATATCTTTGGAATGAAAATTTATATGAAAATTAACAATAAATTGGATCAAAAATGCACAAACTTCAGCAGTAGAGAAATTCAGATTTCATATAGTGCAAGATAACAAGAAAAAAGATGGATATGCTTGAATCTAAGTAAAAATTGTATAAAGATAAAGTATGCCTGGCATGTCACGAGAGATATATAGGAACATGCAGGACACCAATTGCCCGGGCAGTTTGGGCAATCTTGATATCACCGCGCTGTCGTAAAATGCTAGTTACTGGAAAAAATATTTTTTCAATATGTCCTTACAAAAAAACTAGCTTTTAAAAGAGCCTGGATGTGTTTCTGAACTAAATACGCTCAGGTCTGTTCATGGTGATACCACTAAGCGCCCCAAGAACGACAGTGAATTTGCTGAAATGATTAAGAAAGTGTGGGTTCTCAGCCAGTTTTTGAAGCGGAAGTAGAAAATACGCCAACCTGAGTGGCAAGAAGATTACATTCAACTTTTTGTCCTTTGCCCGTTTGATTTCGTTGCAACAAAGCCGTTAAAATTGCTCCATGCGCGTATAATCCTGAAAAATTTTTTATGAAAATGTGCTTATTGTTCCAATTCTTATTAGTAGGCTGGTGGCATTGTAGCAGTTTTTCCCTCAAATATCTGCTGAAACAGATCCAGAAGGAAACACGGAGGTTTTTTACCTGTAATCATATCGATCAGAGCGACGGCAACCA